CTGTTCAACAGCGCCGCTTTTCGTGTTTATTATCTGAAGAAGTCAGATCTGCACTTTCGGCACAATCTTTATCTTCTATAGATCTTACTTTTACGAAACCTTTGCTGTATCCAACTGCAATATGCCCTCCACCACTAGAGAACGCTACACACGATGCTGAGCCATCTAATTCGCCCCCATGCCGGAAACGCTCCAAACGTCCCTGAAATCGGAGAACTAGAGTAAGTGAGCAACGGCAGAACGATATATGATGAGGACTGCTGCTGAAGTTCCATGTTAGCAATTTCGATTAGATTTGAATGCGTAGGCTAAACTTAGTCGCTGAACTTGGAAGCAGCCACTACAGTCTTGTTTCCTGCGAATGGTGAAGCTTCTCAGGGGGCTAGAACCGGTGAGCTGTCAGCCATCTCTCTAGCAACAGCTTGCTCCGCTTCAGCAGTTGGCGGAGAACGGGTTGTTGCCGTGCCAAACTCAGCTCACTGAGACGCCTCAGCCTTCGAAGAGAACAAAACATTAAACAGATGACTATGCGAATTTGTGTCATTTTGAATGTGTCGAACCTCTGCATCGAAGAGCAATAACGAGCCTTTGCTAGTCGCTATAGCGGTGTAGCCCCCATGGTACGCCACTGCTACAGCAGATCCATGCTTTGATCGGAAAGAGACCAGTTGGTGAGATATCGAATCTGAAGCAAACTGTTTCGTAAATGTGCCCATTGCGATATCGAATTTCACAAGACCGAGATTTCTAGATTGAGCAAGAAGACTTCACTGATCTAATGAAAACTAGAGCCTCTAACATGTTTCCAAAGGTAATTGCTGCTTATCGCCACAATTCGTGATGCGAGCGATGTCACAGGAATGTCGCAGTGTTGGCAGAAGACTTGACTCCAGCCAGGATTAGAACTCGGACTTCGAGTTCAGGCTGCGTTAATACTTTGCGAGCCAGCGTTACAGATGCCTGAAATGTCAGATGAATTGGCGCTTTGAGAGAATCGGAGTTTCGTGCGAAAAGGAGAATATCAGTATCGATCCCGTGTTCCAAACTATCAGCGTTCTAATCGAAAAAGACTGTAAAGGAATTCGCTGACGTTTAGGGATATCCTGTAAGACGAGACCTAATAGGGGACCTAAAGGAGACCTAGCAAACCATAAGCTCGAAGCTCGAAGCGTTGGGGTGATGTAAATGTTATCACAGTAGCTCTGCAGGCAGAAGGTCCAGGTTCGAGTCTTGGCTGGGGTTATTTGCTCGTACTTTAGGAACCAACACTTTCACAGCTTATGGTGCTTTCTGAATTCCTTTTGTTAGCTCAGTACAAAATGCCACCAGTTTGTTAGAGAGAGGGTGTGGGTCGGCCGCTATACATTGCAGCGACGCACGAACTAGCAGTCTTAGTAGTTTGTTGTATTCGCACATTGTAGTAAAGCCACTCTAAATCAATCAGCGCCTGACGCGCACACTCCTCTCGTAATGACTCTTTCGTCATCTTCGCGACAGCGTGGAGCCAGCGTTCAACTATCCAAAAGAAAATAATTGTGTTTATCCCCGCTGAGCCTCCTCGACAGATGCAATTCACGAAAAAAAATGGATTTTTTGTAGAGCTGGAATGAATTTATATTTTCAGTACCTAATCTCTCGGTCTTCACGGCACTGTCCAGCTTATAGCTCGCAGCAGCAGATGGCGGTGGACTGATATGATCAACACTTCCAGACAGGTGTCCATCTAGCAGTTCATCATCAAGTTGGCTTACCTGGAACCAGGAACTTCGACGAGCACTACCTCAGTAAAATATATGCCATGTGAAAGATCATCTCCTACCCTCCCTAAGTAAACAGTTAAATCAAGATTTCTTGAATTACCTCATTAAGGACATCATCTAAAGAAAGCGAAGGTAGGGAGAGGGAATCCGATATGTCCAACCAATCCTCTGCTTCCACTGAGCCAGCAATAGAGTTCATTTCATAGGCAGCTGGATATGCAACTCACGCATCGTACAAATTCCAGCTTGTTTTTCTGTGACACAAAATGTAAAACCAGTAATAAGACGGCCTGCCTGCTGTAGCAGCACCAACAGCCACTGCACATCGCGACTGCGCGTCTCCTAGGCTTGCATTTTATTGCCGCCCACGCGAATCCCAAGCAAAAGTACTAGTAAGGATATCTCATGTCTTTCGGGAAACGCCCCAGAAACAGAAAGATAATAGCTACGCTGCCATTCTGGTAGGAACCTGTGAATACAACAGTTCTGTAATAGAAAATAATAAATCTTTATTATAGTAAACCCATCCGCAGCAATAAAGATATGACTCAAAACCCCAAAAAATCAACAGCAGAAGAGATAACAATTGCACGCTAGCATAACAGTCCCTAATATATTGGCATAAATTAAAGGGAAAAACAAAACCATAACAACATATGTTAAAGTGAGGCGTTGAATTCACAGTGCATAAGGCATGCTTTATAATAAAAACGGCATTCACAACAAAAATCACAGAGAATCGGGGATTATCACAATATTAATGGAAGAGAAATCTGTGTGGCAATACCACTGGGACTATTCCTCGAACATCAATAAAAAACGAATCAATCTCTGACTATCACATAATGATATGAGGCTCAGGAACATTGCTAGCAATGCACTTGTGAGGCAATACTTGGGCTCCGTTCAGATAGAGTTCATCATTCACAACCTGAACAACCCTTCTGAGTATCCAAAACAATCCTCCAGAAAATAGAGATGCGCTGTTCGGCTTGGCCGGGGCATTTCGCACTTTTGCTAGTTCATTTTGCTGTTGTAATTGTTATGTTATTTACAGGTTACCACTGGTAAGCCCTTGAGAAACTAGTACATGGTACAAGTGAGCCAACAGTTCAACCCAAGGCTGCTTGTATAAACCTTGCCGAACACCACTTGGTGCCTCTACCAAGCCGAGCTGCGTTTTTAATGAATCAAAGAAGAATGTTTTTTCGCAAACTTACCACATCATCTCCAATCACACTGTTGTTTTCAATGCGTACCCATCGCCCTATAGAGCATTTCCGTCCGATAATGCTCTGATTTATCCATGAATGTGTTCGAATAATAGAATCAGACAACACTGTGCAATGGCGCAAGCGAACGCCATCTTCCACAAGCACTCTCGGCCCAATAACCTAAATCGGGCAACCAATTATCGAATGGAAAAGTTGAGGACAAAAAGATGAAGAACGCGTAGATTGTAAACTTCAAGTACTGTAGCCATAATTACTACAGAATTACAAGAAGTCGGGAACCCCTAAAAACCCAGCACCACCCTGTAGACGAGTTCGTTACCTAGCTGCGGAACTTAGTGATTTCTCCATTTCCTACGCCGTGGACGACACTGTTCCCCAACCATACCCATCATATCCTTGCACTCTCCCAAGTTCCCACTGCTCCTAGCACTATGCTGAAGCTTGAATTTTTTTCCAAAAAGCTGCCGTCTAGCGGAGGGAGGAGGTGAAACAGGGAACCGAAAATGTCAACAAACGAAACGATCTTGCTCATAGGCAAATACGACCTCCTAGTTGGGTACTCCAACGCGGGGATCGTATT